GGGGCCCCAGGCCTGCGGGAGGGGCTTGGCTGCGTCCTGGGTGACCTTGAACCTGGCCGAGAACGTGGGTGCTGGGAGCGGGGGCTCGTTTGCCTAACGATGGCTGCGTCGGACCCCCTCCGACACCGCCGTGCCCCGTGCCCTTGGTCACGTCCCTTCGTCCCCCCCCAGCGAAGCCCCCATAGGTGACATCCTTGACCGCGGGGTGCAAAGTTCACCCAGCCCCACCACCCGCCGGGTTAATGCTTAACCCCACGGCGCTGCCGCCTTTGGGGACAGCTCCGCCAGCTCGGCCGCTCCGCCGCGGGGACCCCACCTTCTCCCGCAGCTCCTCGATGACGTCCCAGTGGTGGCCCCAGTCCTGGGCGCTGGGACCTTTCTTGGCCATGAATTCCCGGATCTGGACCTCCAACCGCCGGTTCTCCTGCTCCAAACTCCGGACCTTCTCCAAGTAGGTGGCCAAGCGATCGTTGAGCTCCTGCATCGTCTCCTTCTCGTTGACCACCACGCCAGAACCCGAAAACAACATGCTGCCCCCCAACCCAGCCCCATAGCCGGCCCCATAGCCGGCCCCATAACCACCCCCAGAGCTGCTAAAGCTGTTGGTGCGGGTGATGGAGATGCGGGAACCCGAGCCCCCCGCCCCGGCGTAGACGCTGGCCGCGCTGCTCAGCGGGGCCAAGCGACGGCCGGAGCCGATGCCGGGGGTGACACCGGAGCGGTGGGAGCTGGAGTAGACGCTGCTGCGGGAGTAGCTCATGGTGACGGTGGTGGCACGGGAGCGACGATGGAGCTGGACGGATGGGTGGACAGACGGGTGGACGGACGAGTGTGATTTATAGCTGGGAGCGGCGGGGAGGGCGGCCCCACGGCCCCTCCCCACGGCCCCTGAAGGTGGGGCCGGATCCAGCCCAAGGCTTTTGTTCCTGGGAAGGGATCGGCCCCATAACCCGTGGGGTGCGGGGCGGAGGGAGGGGGCTCAGCCCCATAACCCGTGGGGTGCGGGGCGGAGGGACGGGGCTCAGCCCCATAACCCGTGGGGGGCCGGATGGAGGGAAGGGGCTCAGCCCCATAACCCATGGGGTGCAGACCAGAGGGAAGGGGCTCAGCCCCATAACCCGTGGGGTGCAGGACGGAGGGACGGGGCTCAGCCCCACACATTTTGGGGGACCCCACGGCTCCAGGTCTCCCCACCCATGCACACATCACCCCACATCACCCCCACCCCACAGCCACCCCCACCCCTGGGGACCCCCCCATGCTCCTGGGGTTCGCCAGCGGGGCCGGC